GTGGGGTCTGGGGACAGCGCTGGTTCCCACTCCTTCATTCTTGGTCTCTGCCAAGCCCTTGTCTTGAATGCCAGGCCCAGAATTCTCCTCCTCTCCGCTGGGCCAGGAGGGGATTGAGCAGATGATGTAGGCAGAGACTTCCCACAAAGCAGCAGAGGTCCCTCCCCTTTTCCTTAAGCTCACAGAGCCAGGTGTGGCCCCCACAACTGCAAATGAAACAATTAGGATGGTCAAGAGGGTGCCACCCTGCCAGCTCAGTGCCCCCAGAAACCATGAGGTCCCCACCTGAAGAAGCAGTTTCCCCCTTCCACAAAGAGCGCAGGACTGGGAGCCCAGGATCCAGGTTTGAGGCCAGCTCTGCCGCTTACCAGCTGTGTGGCCGGGAGGCAGCATAATGAGTCGGGCAGGTGAAGTTCACATCCTGGGTCTCTCACTCTCTAGCCAGGTGACTTGTGGGGACAAGGCAACTCCTGCCTCCTCCCTAATCCCTAATCCTTGGTCTTCTCATTTGTGAAACGGAGGGGATACTCCCACCTCCCAGAGCATCATGGGTCAGGAGCGATGCATTTGGTCAAGCAGCACATAGCAGGTTTTCAGACCAGTGCCTCCCCCTCCCTCTGCTCTCACACTACTATAAAATGGAAGTGATACCTGCTGAGGTGGAGGCGCAGGGTGGGTGTGGAGTTCCAACAAGACCGTGAATGTAAGGCCCCTTCCGGCTGGGCTGGGGCAGGTACAAAATAGGGCTGCCATTGTCGGAATGTCACTCACCAACTGGGGCCCACTGTGGGCCTCCCGGAGCAGAGCGGAGCCCAGCTAAGCCATTCCCACGTCTGAGGTGGGTTCCCTTTCACCACAGGGCCTGAGGCAGGCATTTCAGGAAGTGCCCCTTATCTTTTGTGTGCTGAAAAATAAACAGCTCTCCATCTCCTCGGATTTCTGCTTGAGAGGTATGTGAGCTTTCCTCGCCACCCGTCCATAGACAGGCCACAGTGGGATGGACAGTGGGGCAGCCTGGCACCGGCCTCTGGATGGCCTTCCAGCCTCCCATCCTTAACTCCCACCTTCACACCTGTAGAGGCTCCAGCCCCAGACTAGGCCTTTGGGAACCTGCCTTCAGAGTTCTTGCATTTGCTTCAGTAGAAGGAAGCATGGGAGTGGGGGCTGGGGGCAGAACACAGAGCAGGGTACCAGACATTGGGGTCAGAGCACAATGGTCTAGAGAGCTTTCCAGAAGGGGGGATCTCAAATGGAATGGAAGGAGGGGGCCATGCTTCACTGCTCCTCAGTTAGTTACTTCCCACCTCGGTTCCAGGTTCTGTAAAATGGGCCGATACAAGGGCAAGAGGCTTGAGAGGCTTAAACGAGATGATAGGTGTACAAGTGGGCAGGTGAAGTTCACATCCTGGGTCTCTCACTCTCTAGCCAGGTGACTTGTGGGGACAAGGCAACTCCTGCCTCCTCCCTAATCCCTAATCCTTGGTCTTCTCATTTGTGAAACGGAGGGGATACTCCCACCTCCCAGAGCATCATGGGTCAGGAGCGATGCATTTGGTCAAGCAGCACATAGCAGGTTTTCAGACCAGTGCCTCCCCCTCCCTCTGCTCTCACACTACTATAAAATGGAAGTGATACCTGCTGAGGTGGAGGCGCAGGGTGGGTGTGGAGTTCCAACAAGACCGTGAATGTAAGGCCCCTTCCGGCTGGGCTGGGGCAGGTACAAAATAGGGCTGCCATTGTCGGAATGTCACTCACCAACTGGGGCCCACTGTGGGCCTCCCGGAGCAGAGCGGAGCCCAGCTAAGCCATTCCCACGTCTGAGGTGGGTTCCCTTTCACCACAGGGCCTGAGGCAGGCATTTCAGGAAGTGCCCCTTATCTTTTGTGTGCTGAAAAATAAACAGCTCTCCATCTCCTCGGATTTCTGCTTGAGAGGTATGTGAGCTTTCCTCGCCACCCGTCCATAGACAGGCCACAGTGGGATGGACAGTGGGGCAGCCTGGCACCGGCCTCTGGATGGCCTTCCAGCCTCCCATCCTTAACTCCCACCTTCACACCTGTAGAGGCTCCAGCCCCAGACTAGGCCTTTGGGAACCTGCCTTCAGAGTTCTTGCATTTGCTTCAGTAGAAGGAAGCATGGGAGTGGGGGCTGGGGGCAGAACACAGAGCAGGGTACCAGACATTGGGGTCAGAGCACAATGGTCTAGAGAGCTTTCCAGAAGGGGGGATCTCAAATGGAATGGAAGGAGGGGGCCATGCTTCACTGCTCCTCAGTTAGTTACTTCCCACCTCGGTTCCAGGTTCTGTAAAATGGGCCGATACAAGGGCAAGAGGCTTGAGAGGCTTAAACGAGATGATAGGTGTACAAGAACTGGTAAATACCTCATACCCCTAAGTGCCCAGGAAATAGTAGCTGCTGTGCCAGGCTGGGGAGATGTTCAGTGACTTGAACTTTTTCAAGGTTCTTTTCCTTGGGCGGTTGATACTTGTTACTTAATGTAGCCAAGTGTCCTGCTTTTCACAAACTCAGCTGTAACCCAAGGTGAAGTGAAGAAGCCCGGAGCCCTTTCGCTCTCTCCAGCAGGTAAAGGCACCTCCTCCACCCAGTGGGAGTGTGGCAAAAGACTCCAGACCTAAAACTCCTGCCTCCCCCAGGGCCTGTGACCCATAGACTATTTCCTTTGTCCTTGGGCATTGCAGAATTAGATGCACAAGGATTTCAAGGCACTGCCCCAGTCATTTTCACTTCCCTTCCACTTTTTCCATCCTTCATTTTAACTGTCTATTGAGCACCTACAGTATACCAGGTGATGGGGATTCTCTGCCAGGCAAGGACTCAGCCCTGATAAAAGCTCATTATTCTAGGGAGGGGGTGGGAGGTAAATGTAAAAAAAAAAAAGACTGCATTAAATACTATAAAGAGAAAAAAATCAGGTGCCGTAAAAGAGAATTTGAGGGCCTACTTAGGGATGGATCAGGACATTTGAGGAGATGACATTTAAGCTGAGATCTGAAGCAGGAACTGGCCGTGGGAGGAGTACAGATGAGGAAAGAATGTTCCAGATGAAAGTAACAGCAGCTGTAAAAGTCTGGGGGAAGACGGAAACTTAGAGAATCTGAGGAAACTGAGTGGAGGCCAAAGAAACTGGGGCCTGAGTTAGGTGGGGAGCAGTGGGAGATGAGGGTGGGAGTGGGCCGGGGGTTCTGGTAAAGGCGCTGTCCCTGCAGAGTTTTAAGCAAGGAGTAGTAGCAAGATCAGAATTTTTTTTTGATTGAAGTATAGATAATATAATATTAATTTCAGGTGTATGTGTATATACATTTGATTCAGTGTTTATATACATGATGAAATACCAAGATAAATGTAGTTACCATCTGTCACCATACAAAGGTATTACAATATTATGCACTATATTCCCCATGCTGTACCTTTCATCCCATGACTGATTTATTTTATAACTGGAAGTTTGTCTGTTTCTCCTGTCTCCCCCACACCCTCCCCTCTGGCAATCACCAGTTTGTTTTCTCTATTTATGAATCTGTTTCTGTGGAGGTTTGTTTTGTTTTTTAGATATCACATATAAGTGAAATCACACAGTATTTGTCTTTCGCTATCTCACTTAGCATAGTACCCTGGAGGTCCACCCGTGTTGCCACAGAGCAGCATTCCCTATTAAAGTCTCTCTCTGGGCACTGAGGGGGCTGTGATAAGAGGCCAGGCAAGGGAACCAGAGACTGACAGGAGCCGAGGCTGTGCCTGTGACCCCCAGCAGTCACCTCAACTCTCTGAATCTGTTCCTTCACATGTTATGTGTGTCTAAGAATCAAATGAGAGCAAACAGAAGCGCACTTTGGAAAGCTGTAGAAATGTATACATGCAGGGGATTCCAGGTCTCACTGGGAGTGAAGGGTCCCTTGGGAAAGTCTGCTATGTTAGACTCTTCTGTGGTGGGAGGCAGAGTGCTGGGTGCCCGGAGCCCCTACCTGAGCACCCCACATCTGAGAGAGCCTACTTTTCCAGCATAGGTCAGGGGCCCTGAGAGGTGGCAGGGGCTGGGGAGGGAGCACCTGCTTGAGGCTTTTGACTCCTGAGAGAGAAGGTGGCAGAAGGGTCACCTTCCCGGTTTTTGACCAATCCAAAGCCCAAATTGGAGTTTTTTGACGTTTTGGAGGGAGGGCCACACCCTCGAGCCTGGAGGTAAACGTTAGATTCCCCTCTAGCCGCCCAAATGTACAAACACAGCATTTTTCATTGTAGGTCAGGGAGTTTTCTGGAATTTTCAGAACATCTCTGGCTTAAAGACCCCTGTCTTTTTTATTCCACCTCTTCCTCCACTCCCCACCCCACCGCAGTCTTTCTAGTTGATGGAGAGACTCCCTTGACGCACCTAAGGGCCGGTGGTGGGAGGAGCCCCCCTCTCTGCTGTTGTGGGCCAAATCAGGCTCACTCTCCTAGTACTTAACTCTCAGTATCTGCTGCTGGAAACCCGCCTACTGAAGGGGGTTTAAGGTTCTCGGGAGGGGCTGCCCTGCGGCCTTTTCCTGCCTGCCAGGGGCTGGCCGTGGTGGCCTCTCCCCCAATCCCTGGGAAAGGGGGCAGCCTCGACTTCTGTGCCTTGGGGTCTCCCGCCGGGCCAGGAGGGAACCGGGAACCGTCCGCCGAGCTAGTTCTGCCCGCGAGGGTGGCGCGATGCCGCTCCGGTCAGCTGGGCGCGCTGCGGCGTGGGGACCCTGGCGTCGCGGAGCGCAGCATGTGGAGCTTGTGGCTGCCGCCGCCGGTGGCCGCCGCGCTGGCGGCGCTGGGGATGAGGCGCGGCGTTGCATGGGGGCGGGGAAGGCGGGGACCCCCACCCCCACCCCGCGGGCCAGTCCGTGGGCCGGTCTCGGTGTCCCGGCCGGCCGGGGCGGGGCGCGGCGCCGGGGCCGCTTCCCCATTCTCCCCATTCGGGCGCCAGAGCCATGGAGACGCTGAGGGAGTCCGTCCTGCATTTGGCTTTGCAGATGTCGACCTACAAGCGGGCCACGCTGGACGAGGAGGACCTGATGGACTCGCTCTCCGAGGGCGACGGGTACCCAAACGGCCTGCAGGTAGGAGCCCTGGTCCTGGGCGAGCTCCCGGCCCAGTGGAGGCCGGGTATGCGCACCGGTGCCGCCCCGCGCCTGCCGCGTCCTGCCCTCCCGGACCGGGCAGGGCCCGCCGCAGCTCTGGGCACCTCTGTGGAGAGGGAGCCTTTCTGGGGCCGGTGTCGTGATCCCGAGGCACCGGGCTCCCCGCACTGGCCTCCCCTCCCCAACTCTGGCTGTCCCCAAATCCTCCCCACCACCTGCTAATGAGGCTGCAGCCTAGGAGGCAGAGTTGAAGCACACTGCTGAGCGGAACTGGTCGTTACCTTTTCACAGAAAAGGCAGTCCCTGAGTGCTGAGGCACTTGCCGGGGGTCACTCAGCCCATTACTGACAGAGTCTAAAACTGTCACAGTCTTAGCATGGAAAGCCCTGCATACCTGGAGTCCCCTCAGTCCTGGGCAAACCAGGACAGCTGATCTCCCTGTCTAGTAGGCATTACCCCATTCTTTTCCCACAATGCCTGAATTCCCTTGTGGGGAGGAAGCTCTCCTCTGCCCTCCCTTTCTCTGCCCCTTTTCAGCCTGCTCAGGAAGCCCAATTCCTTCCCTCCCAAGTGTCTGCCCCTGTGGGACTCGAATATGCCCACACCTCCCTGCCTTGTGGCAGAGCAGCTATGGCTGCCTTATGCTCATCTCTCCCTGTGGGGCGGAACTGGGACAGTCCTGACCAGGACCTTGGCCCCGGTGGGGTTAGGACTCAGGCAGGTGGACTGGAATGAGTTGGAAATGTCCAGGATGCCCACAGGGACCCTTGATCTGGCTCCTGAGAAACCAACATAGAGAGGAACTGGGGCGTCTCAGTCCAGGAGGACTCTGCCAGGTTGACTAGGGGAGGTACTTGGGCTTCCAAGTAAACTGACACTGAGCTACAACTTATCCAAGGTGTAGGCTTAGGGTGCATGGAAACTCAGACTGCCAAACCCAGCCTTGCTCATGCACACCTCGTAGAAGCTGGAATAATTGCAGTAATAAAAAGAAATAGCACTGATCGAGTCTCTCCTCCAGGCTAGTTAAATAGACCCAGGGAGATCTGAACTCACAACCCCAGGGTATCTGCCCATGGGGATGTGGCACCTTTGTCTACATTGTCCCACATAACCTTCAGGGCCAGGTACCCCCATGAGCTGTAGGGATTACTGTTCCCACTTACAGATAAGGAAACTGAGGCTCTGAAAGGAGATACAGTTCACCTTAGGTTGTAGAGCAGAAATCTGGGAGTGAGAAATCAAACCCAGTCTGTTTAGAACCTCTTCTCTGCAGACCCTTCTTAAGAGGCTAAATCCAGCAGGAAATGAGATTTCTGTAGCAGGCACTTTTCCCTTCACAAATCAAAATAGAATCTAATCAGCAATCTTTTTCAGTCTCATCTTTCACAGAAGGTTCTAAATATATCAACACAAAAGCATTTCAGAATTCACAACAAAATAAAATGCCATGTTGTTATCTTCCTATCAGCAGCCCACATGGGTATAGCCTTTTCCAGGTCACAGAGTATGTTCAACGGCCTGAGGCTGCCCAGGCTCTGAAGCCGGGGGCCCACGTTTGAATTCTGACTCCACTCATGATTGTGAGTGAACTGCTTAATCTCTTTAAACCGCAATTCCCTCATCTGTAAGATGGGAGTTAGAGAAAGTAAATGTGAAATATGTTACAGGGCCTGCTGGGTGTCATTCATATATGTCTATGAGGTGAGAACCCCTGTGGCTGTGTTACAGGTGAGGTTGAGTCTCAGGTTAGGGATATTTCTGTGGCCGCAGAGCTATCATGTAGGTTGGAGTCCAGTGTTGGTACCACCACACTAAACCGCCGCATTGGGTATATTATACGTTTGATACAGGAAAAGCCAAAAAGTTTGCCCCAAGTGTTAGGGCACTTCTGGGAGTACCCACCCTGGCTTGCCTTGAGTCCTGTGACTTATCCGGAGCAAACATGAACTAGCCAGTGCTTGGTTTCCTAAGAGTGATGAACCCATCCACTTCAACTTATGAAGCAAAATTTTATATTAATTTTATGTTTTTAATTATTGGGGTTTTCTTTCCATATAAAAACTTTATATGCCCACTTGTGAAAAAAAAGAGAGTCAAGTATAAAAAAAAATTAGAAGGAGACACTATTACCCCTGCTTGGAAATAATTCCTTCTAGTTTTTGTATTTGCATGAACATATTTTTAAACATAATTGAACTCACTCTGAGTACACAATGTTGGGTCTTGCTGTTTTCACTTACTGCCACTTCATCAGCATTTTTCTAGGTTGTTAAAAACGTCTATAACATGATGCCATTAAAAGCCAACACCTCATGGCACCAATATGTAAAAACTTATTTATTCAATCTGCTATAGTTAGACAATAGGTCCAATAATTGTAACCGTATAGGTGACCATCTTTTAGCCTTTCAGTTAATTTCCTATGAGCTGATCCAAGAAACACAATTGCTTCTTCAATTTTAGGCTTAAAAATGGACCCAGGCCCCGTAAATCTTCCTCTCTTGATAGTCAGTTATAAAAATAAGCTACTTGATTTTTGAAGATTTTGAAGCCCATTGGTTCTAGGAGTTACCGATACCAATACTAGTAAGTGAGAACTTCTTTCAGCCAGACTTGCCACCTTTATTTTTGAATATGTTGAGAAAATGTTGAATGCAGCTGGAGCAAAGTTCTACCTTTACCTGACCTTAAAGAGTTTTTTTCTCCTTTTTTCTTATATTTTGGGCGCAAGTTAATTGTGATCCCTAAAAATTAGTCACTACTGATTGAGTGCCCAATAGCTCTAATGTGGAGCCCAGCTTGCCTCTCATGGGCTGTGAGACTTGAAAGCAACTCATGTAAACAGCTTTTCTGTGAAATGGGATTAATATTATTAATCCAGCTCTCAGAGCAGTTGCAAAGATTGAAATGAGACAATACAAGTGAAAGCATTTTGCATAGTGCACAAAAAAATGGATTTAGTTGTTATCAGGATTATAATCAAAACTCACCAGGCATGAGATCTCAGTGGTGCCCTAAATATAATAGCTTTCCTTGGAAGCCTCTCCTCTGCTCAAACCGGCTGCCTGGCCTCCCCGCACCCCCAGCACATACTATTCAGTGGCTCAAGGGGAAATAGCTGAAGTCACACCTGTTCTCCAAACGGGAGCAGAGGGCCATGGCTGTTCACTAAAACCTTTGAAACTCATCCTGTTACTTCTAAAAATCTCCCCCTTACCCACCCTTTTTTTTTTTTAAGAAAAAAGAAAGCTGAGATATTTCATTCTTAGTGATGGTTTTCTCATTTTCTCCACTATGCCCAGGGCTGTCCTTTGAGGGTGACTTCTAGGACAGTCCTACTCATACTTTAAAAAGGCCTCTCTGCCTACCAGGAGGTCCTCCCAATTCCATCCACCCATTAGAGCTTTATACTCTTGGCCTTAGAGTTGTTCTAGAATCTGTCAGACCTGGAACCTCATCCAGCTTCCTCATTTTAAAGATAGGAGACTGAGACCCAGAGGCTGCCCAGTGACACACACAGGGTTTTGATACAGTCAAGGCTGACCTTTGACTTCTCTGGTTTGTGCCCTTTCTCCTGTGCTATGGGCAGCTGGGTATTCCTTCTGGGAAGCAAAGAGCTGCTGGCAAGTGCTTCTAAATATTAGACTTTGGTTCCTATTTAGGTGCAGAGAGTCCCTTCCCCACAACAGGTACTAATTTAACCTGTTATCAGTCATTGGAAAAGAGTCAGACATGGGGCTGGGGGAGCAGGTAGGGAAGAGAGGGGGAGGACAAGAGGACATTAGAGTTTGCTCTGGGCAGGCCCCAGTGGTCTCAGCCGGAAGTCCACCATATGGAAACTTCGCTGGAAGAAACTTCCCCAAGCTAACACCTTCACAGAGGCAGGGTGTCTCCCTAGGCCAGGCTCTCATGGTCTGTCTGCTCTGAAAGGCTGATTCCGAAGCAGCTTCTTGGGCTGTAGGGGGTGGGCTCCACGCCAAACCCTTGGCCAGACTGCTGTTTGCTGCTCCATACAGCCCAGGTCTCCGGGGGACCTGGCAATGGCTCGGGAAAAGTCCCTACCCTCCTGTCCGACCCCCTGCTTCCTCTGGAAACCAGGTTTTGCCTGCCTCCCCACCCCTTCTCCTGCTGGTTTGTCTCCTGGGCCCCAGGCAGTGGTGTCCTGTGCTCGCCAGTAGAACTTGTTCTTGCTGTAAGCCTAGGTGAGCCGAGCACTTACTTCTGTAACTGAATATTTATCCCACTTTAGGGCTTTGTTCGCTTGGCTGTGGGAACTCTGGCTGGACAGTTCAATTGTTTCTCTGCCTCTCTCTTTCCGTCTCTGCCTCCCTCTCCACCTCTCTTTCACGGGCATCCTTTTCTTTCTGTCTCACATGAAAATAAATAAGATAGGAGGCCCACTAGTGAGCTGAGCAATTGGGGCTGTGGGTCTGGAGGCACACGGGTTTTCTCACCCATCTCTCCCCACCGCCACTTCCTTTGTTTCTTCTGGAGCTAATACTAGTACCTACTCTTAAGGATGTTGTGAAGATTGAATAGCATCATCTGGAAACAAAACAATTAACGTGATACCAGGCACATGGGAAGCTCTTGAATACCAGCTGCCATTATTATTCTTTTATCCTTCCCTCCTTCCCTCTGTTCTTTTCATCTTCTCCCTTCCTTTCATCTACTTTCACCTCCTCCAATTGCCCACACCTCGGTCTTACTCTGTCCACATAAGGTGAGGATTCCTGCTCCCCCAAGTCTGAGGGCTGGGCGCCCTAGCTTCCAAGAGCCAGCACCAGAGGGGTGCCTTGGAAACCAAGGTCAACCTGCCTCTTTGTCTTTGAGCATCTCCGCCCACCAGCTAAGCCAGGATAGTGGGGCCACTGGGAGGCCTAGAGGAGGAGGCAGAAGATAAGACAAGTCCAGAGGCAGGACAGTGCCCCCAGGCAAGGCAGTACTTGCTTGAAACCCTTTGGGACCCCTCTGAATACCAGTCCCCAACGTGAGCTGCATGAGAGAATGATGCCTCAGAAAAAGCACTCTGTAAACTGTCCCTGTGAACACGTGGGCATCATCCCGGGCTCCTTGGCTCTGCCCCAGGCCCTCCCAGCCCAAAGTTTTAATTTACTGGTGGCAGCATATGGTCACAGTCTTTACTTCTTGCATTAAAAAAGGTTCTGAAAAGATTTCAGGAGGCGGCTTACCTCCCTCTACCTGACGCAGCTGCTTCAGTGTCCCAGCTTCCTGCACTTCCATGGAAATATGACTAGGTGCCAAGTTCCTTTTCTTGGTTTTAGAACTCAATTTTTCTTCTGCGAAAAGTTCTTGTGTTCCTCCTTCTCTGATGTGGCAATTCCCAGTCATTTCCTGCCCAGGAAATGCCCAGTGATGACCACAAGGCCACTTGGTTTCCTTCTCTAAGGTAACCAGCCTCAGATCCCCAAGGGCCACTGTGAGGCTCCCTGAGGGCTGTGACCTGGCTCCTGGGGCAGCCACCTCTTCACCTGTTGGTGAGGCACTTGCAGATCAGAGTCTGGGTCCCCTCATCCCCCCTCATCTCCTCATCTCCTCATCTCCCCTGCCAGGGGATGTGTCCGGCAGCTCCCTCCTTTTCCCCATCTCCTGGCAGGCTGTGGGTCCCCCTGCCACCATGCCTGCTCACCTCCAAGTCTTACTCCTTCCACCTTGGCCTTTCCAAAGGGCAAATCTAATCATGTCACCCCAGACCTCAGGAAGAAGTCTACATTCCTTAAACTGGCTTCCAGTGCCCCTTAGGATCCAGCCCTGCCTCCCTCTCCCCTTCCCTATTCCACCTGGCCAGCTCCTTCTTAACTCTTCAAGACCCAGCCCAAGCATTTCCATCTCCAGGAAGCCTTCCCTGACTGCATCCCTGCCCACCCTAGTCGGTTTATCTGCCTCCCTGCTGGTCTCCAAGTAGCCTCCCTCTGACAGTGAGGGAGTCTTTCTCTCAAGTATTTCCAGTGTCGCCCAAAGCTGGTATTCCGCTGTGTGCACAATGGCTGCAATCTCATGGACCCAGGCCCCACCTTTAGGGGACCCCACCTATCCTGTGGCCCCAGCTTTTGCAGGAAGCACCTCTTTGAGCAGAGGGGAGCCCCAAGCTGGCCTTGGGTGTGAGGGCCTGGGCTGAGGGCTGAGTGCCGTTGGCTGGTATGGCCCTCCTCAGCTCCAAGAGCCCTGCCACGCCCTCCACTTCCTCTCATTGTGCCTCCCTTCCTGTTTAGCTAGACTGTTAGGCTGGGGACATTTTCCCTCCCTTTGATGACCTGCCTGAATGGAGCTATTTCTCCATTGCATCTCCCCAGATGTCTCCCAAGACTCAAATCTCTGACCCCCTGCTTGGTCAGCAGACTTGGGTTCAAATCCCAGCTCTACTCATTTAGCTATGTGACGAGAGGCCAGGGTCTCACCTCTCTAGACTTGTTTCCTCATCTATAAAATGAGAACTAATAACACGATCCTCAGGGGACCTGAGGTTTAATGAGCTAAGGATGTCCGTGCTGCTGGGAAGTGGGAGCTGTGTCATCCCGGCCTACTGATTGTGGGGCCTTCCAGGAGAGCCCAGCTGCACGCTCACTGGATGCCTGCAAGTCCAAACATCCTGTTCTTTTTTAGACTTCTTACTGCAGAAACAGGGAAAGGCTCTTCTTTGTTTTTCTTCTACCCGTATCGGGTGACACAAAAAACCTAAGCCCGGCTGGGTTGAGCTTCTTAACTCTCTGACGTTTAGGAGTAAATCGGAGCTGCTAAGCAGGGTGGTGGCTCTTCCCTGGATTAGGACTGATTCGTGGGAAGCAGACCACCCCTGAGGCAGGAGTGGGGCCCTGATGTCTCCTCGAGGCCTGGGCCCGCCTCAGAGCCCCTTCCTCCTGAGGAAGGAGGGCCCTGGGCTCACGTCCTCCCCACCCCACCTGCCTCCTTCTCTGCAGGTGAACTTCCGCAGCCCCAGGAACGGCCAGTGGTGCTGGTCCACGCGGACCCAGGTGGAGAAGCGGCTGGTGGTACTGGTGGCACTTTTGGCGGCAGGACTGGTGGCCTGCTTGGCAGCGCTGGGCATCCAGTACCGGACAAGTAGGTACTTCGGGGTTTCGTCATGGGCTCGGCGTGTACCTGCCCTCAGCTCAGTCCACTTGTGCAGGGGGGGCTTCCCTGCTCAAGCCAGGACTGGCCTCCAAGGCCAGGGAGATAGCTAGGTCTGGAGGGCTCAGGTGCTGACAGTCTAGACTGAGACCTGGGTGGTAGGTCACGGGGAGGTTTTGGAGTCAGAAGAACATGAGTCCGAATCCTGGCCTAGCAACGTATTGTCTGTGTTACTTGGGACAAATCACTTTATGTCACAGAACCTGTGTCTTCTCTAATTTAAATGGGGAAAATGGTACCTAGTTTGGGGATGGCTCTGAGGATTAGAGATAATGTATATCACATACCTGGCACCTATGAGGCTTCCCTAACCTTAGCTCTGGGTTCTGCTGGTGTTAGTATGTGGGCTGGGTGGACACACGACTGGCACTGTCTGCCATCCTTAGTTCCGACAAAATAGCTGTAATGGCTTCCGTTTAGTTAATACTGTCCACAGACCAAATACCGCAGCTCTTTGCCGCTGTATTCTCATTTCCTCCTCACAGCAACCCTACGGGGTGTGGATACCTTTGGCCCCATTTTACACATGAGGAAACTGAGGCAGTAAGACTAGGTGACTTGCCCAAAGTTATATGGCTGGAGTGGAAGGCAGTGGGAAAGCTGGAATTCAGCCACAGGCTGTAAGGCCCAGAGCAAGGCTCCACCTCCCTTTTTAATAATCACAGCGTGCCCAGTGTGTATCAGTTCCCCCAGAAAAGCTGTCCTTCCATGGTCCAGCGGCCCTGCGTATGCCTCTGTAGTCACACTGTGTCCTACCTTGTATAGTGATATGATCTGGCCCCTCTGATCCTGCCATCAGGGGTCTAAGGCTGGTTCTCTGTGTCTGGCTGAGTGTCTAGCCGAGTCCCTCACGCAGAGCCGATGTTCAGTCAGCATTTATGAAACTTGAAAGGGCAGATCCAAATTAAAAATGAGGATGGGGGGTCCAGCTAGTTCCAGGCTCTCTCACTGCACTGGCCCTGACATTTTGCTTTCCAGAGGCAGATAGTCCACCTAGTTGAGCAGCTTCTGGGGTCTTTGCTCAGGGTCCAACACTACCAACTTGGCCACCTGGCCACTCATCCGATCAGAGGGATTGTGAACCTTCATCACGTTTAGGCACATCCACCACAGGCTGCATTAGCCTTCCTACTGTGAGGTCGCTGGCCTGAGTGGACAGCCTTGCTGGACAGGGCTGGGGAAGGAGTTTGGGGGCCTGGAGAGAGGGCAGGACTTCACCTGAGTCACCCTTCCATCCCTCCTGTATCAAGTACCTATTCATTCATTCCACAAACATTTAATGAATGCTTACTCTAAGTCAGGCACCTAGATGGTGTTTAAGAAATAATTGCTTGATTATTTAACTGACTATTTTATGGTTTGTGGATGTTTTGCCAAATGTACCTGGCCCAACAGGGGCTAAATGCATTTTTGTGTAATTAATTATTCCAGCCTCTTAACTGTATGTGTTTAGTACAGTGTCTACATGCCACAGGTGTGCAAATAGTTTGCAAGGTGAATAAATAAATGATTGAATGGACAAAGGAGCAAAGAGGAGGACTAAGCTGGGACCAGCCTTTCTCTGCTGATCACCTTTGGCCTGCAGCCTCCATCTACCTTATCATAAATCAACTTCAGTTCAGAACACCCTGCTGGGCAGTGTGGACCCTAGCCAGCCTTATCTGCCCAGCTCCTGGCCCTGTGCATGGGAAACAGTCGAGACTCTAGCAGCCAGAGTTGCTCTGAAACTGCCCCAGGAGTTCTCAAGATTTTTTTCCCTTGAAAACTAGAATGGAGCCCCAGGACTGGCTCCTAGTGGTCAGACCCACAAGGGTGCCCTTGGGAGGAATCCGCTCCTGCCTCTATCTTAGCCCCCAAGACTGCAGAAGAGTTTTCCCCAGCCTGTACCTGGGTGAAAAGAACTCTTCCCCAAGGTGTGAAGCTGGGCTGAGGATCAGGTGACCTGTGAGCCAGCCCATGTATCTTCATCAGCTGCCTTGGCTTGGGAAAGCAGTGGCCACCCTGGGTGTTGACAGTAACCTCATTTCCCAGCAGCAGGAGCTGGCATTGGCTACTCTGAACAAACATCAGACCAGTCAAAGCAAATTCTCTAATGGTTCTGATAGATGCACCTCTAAGTTATGTCTGGGCACTTAACTAAATATTTATCCACTTTCCTGCTGCACCGTCCTTTCCAAAAACTTACAGATGCTTTGTAAACAGCAGCAGCAAAACAAACAATACATTTTCCCAGAAAATATTCCAATGTGTATTACTCAGTGTTGAGGCCTGCCACTGTCCAGACGAGTGTCTGTGAACTAGATCTGGGACTTGCTTCCCCTTTCTCAGCTGTATCATGCATGTCCTAAAGGGAAGAAATCTTTTCTGCCTCTGCAGGTGGTGACTGAATGCTGGACAAAGCCCTTTGATTCACTCATTCATTTCACTTAGTCACTCAACAAGCATGTATTGGACAGCTACTAGGTGCCAAATACAATGCTGGGCAAAGGATATATGAATGCAAGTAAGATGGCCTTACTCTCAAGCTCACATTCTAGTGGAGGAGGTAGACAGGGAGATGGCCACGATACATCATAATCTGTGCTTGGATAGTGGACACCTAGGTAGCTAAGCAAAGGACCCGTCATGAAAGGGAGCCTCAGTTGGGTTTTGAAGATATTGTTGACCTTGGTATTAGATGAGGGGGTCCTGGAAACAATTAATTGATCAATTATGTGTTAAGCACCTCCTGGGTCAGGAATAGTTGGTAAAGAATCGATAAACCATTAAATAGTTAAATAACCGAACAATTATTGCTGAAGTTTCACCTAGGTACCTTGTGCTGTGCCTAGCAAAGTGGGTGCTTAGTGAAGAATTCAAACCTCTCTGAATAGTTTCTGGGGACTGGATTCCTAGTTTGTTTTCAAACCCAAGTTCCCTTATGATAACTACAAAAATCACACCGACTCTGATGTAACTTGCTCTGTGAGACAGACCCTCTCCTGGTCTGTCTGCTGGGCATTCCCACCAGCCAAGATTGCGTCAAGCTTTACTTCCAGCAGTTTGTTGTGTAAAAACAATAGGTATTCTTCTCTTTTCCAAATATGAAGTTATAATAGTGAATAGTCTTTTTCAAACGACATAGAAATTCTCTTCCCCCACCCCTACCCCCCCATAAAGATTCTGGTACCTTCCTCGAGCTGGGGAGTGGGGCATACAACTCTGATTAAAATGATCTGATCTAGGGATATTTAAAACAGCACCATATCTGCTACCATTTCCTTTCTCTAATTAGTTGTTGGATAGTCATCCAGAACAAGTAATAACCTTTAAAAATAGAGTCACCCTGATTTTTGCACTGTCGTGTGGCTCCTCTGAGCTCTTTTTCAGCCTGCCAAACTTTGTATTTGTCATTGATGTTATAAGCCCACAGGCCACACCTGCCCCGGCTGGCATTATATTTCTGAGTGAGGTGATGCCTGCCCGTGCCAGCCTGTGCATCCTTTTCTGCTCTCTAATGATTGGCCTGGGGACATCAGGCTAAGACTGGAGAGCGCTGAGCCCCCATGCTCAGCCATGAAGGTGTTTATCATCACTGTGAGATGGGTCCTACTGTTCTTCCTTAACTCTAGAGAGAGAAACTGAGGCGCAAAGAGATGAGGTCACTTGTGCAAGGCCTACAGCCAGAAACAGAAAGTTGGAATTTGAACCCATGTCTAAGAGCCTCAACACCTACCCTTTCCAGTGCACTGGGGAAACTGAACTTGCCAAAGGGATGTACTAGCCCACTGCGTGCCCAGCAAAGAGGTGGGGGGGGGAAATCAGGAGAAAGCCCGCCTGGGAGCTGCCGCGATACATCAGCTCTCCCACGCAGCCATGTGGCGTTGTCCCCGTGGCTCACTCAGAGCCTCCGTTCCCTTCTCTTTAAACAGGGGTGTCACCTGTATCTGATGCCTGTAGTGAGGCCTAAGCGAGGTCACCGATGCCTTTGAAGTGTCTCTTGCTGCCACTGTAGCTCGTGTCAGCTGCGATTTGACTGGGCCTGTGTCCTTAGCCTGGGTCTGGATCTCCTGCCTCCATCTCCTGCGGGTGGTGGTTCATCCTGCCACCTCGGGCAGGGCCACTGCTAAGGTGCCCATGGTTTGGTTCTTTTGCCGAGCCTGCCGACCAATCTTGAGGCAGGGGTCTAGCCCCTGCTTTTACTTCTGCCCCATGTCCTGTGCAAACCAGCTCGGAGGAAGCTGGCCTCTCTGCTCATTGTGTTTTGGAGGCCCTGGTAGGACTTGGCAGCCCTGCCCACTGCCTACCTGCACCAACTGCCATCCCTCCTTACGGCAGCACCTGGCAGGTGGGGCCACCCTGCCTCCTGGCAGCGTAGGGCTGTCAGTTCCCTTCCAGGCTCACAGCAGGCATAGCGGAAGGAGGGGGTGGTCAGATCCCACTGGCCATTGACCACAATATGTGGCCTGTCTGTGCCTCACTTTCCTTGTATATAAAAATGGCCTTAAGCAAAGTGATCTCTTCCAGTTGTCTCATTTTTGTTTCTTTGAAATTGCAATGAGATGACTCTCGTGTCTTGTGCTTATAACCCTGCCCTAACTCTAACCCATGCCTCTGTTTTAGTAGTTCCCTCTGTTCCTGTTGGTCTTTCCTTCTTGCTGACTCCTGGCACCTTATTGTCTGCCTCCCCCATTTGGCAAGGACCAAAATACTCAGTTTATGTTTGCAGTATACACGACACACATTTCTCCCACTGTTGTCTTTTGATTTTTCTTACATAATGTGTGTTCCTAACTAAATCATTAGCTCGTGAAGGGAAGGACAATGCCTGTTATATCCCCCCCACCTCACATACACACACCCTTCACTCAGTGAAGAACCTAGAAAACTCAGTAAATATTTTGTTAAATAAATGGATGTATGAATGAGTGAATGAATTTGCTGAGAATTGGATAATAAAAATCAGTGACTACTTGTGGAAGGAAGGGCTGATTAAGAAAAACATTGGTCCTGGGTACTTTTTAAGCCACAGAAAGGATTTGAGGCAGCTAACAGAAGTCTTATTTTATAAGTCAGGATACTGTAAATCTACTGGAATCATTTCTCTGTCAGGGTCTAGAGACCACGCAGTTCCGAATCTGTATTCCCACAGCCTCCTCCCTGCCTGCCCTTCACTGGCCGCTTGTCCTTGACCCCTGCAGGAAGCCCTCCGGTGTGCCTAAGTGAGGCCTGCATCTCAGTGACCAGCTCCATCTTGAGTTCCATGGACCCCACGGTGGACCCCTGCCAGGACTTCTTCACCTATGCCTGTGGAGGCTGGATCAAGGCCAACCCGGTACCTGACGGCCACTCCCGCTGGGGGACCTTCAGCAACCTCTGGGAACACAACCAAGCCATCATCAAGCACCTCCTTGGTAAGAACCGGGCAGGGCCAGTGAACGGGCTGCAGAGAAGGGCTCTCAGCTGGACCTACCCAGCCAGGCCCAGTTAAAGGAAGAGCTTGGCAAAATGGGAAGACCAGAGGCTTCAGAGCAGATGGAACAGGGGAAGAATGTCTGCCTGTCACTCCTGCAAGTTACCTTCATCAACAAAATGGATCTAATAAGACCCCAACTGCAGACTTTTGAGAGCTGTAGAGCATACATGTTAAGTGTTAGCATGGCATGTGTGGCACATAGTAGGTTCATAGTTTTTGACTGATATTGTCTATGAGTCTTGAAAGTAGTGAGTAGAAGGACTCAAGGCTGAGTGTACTAGATCAGATTTAAGGTTGTGGGCAGATACAAGTTAGAACAACTCTTAGTAGCTGAGTTATTCATTGCAGGCAGGAATTATCCTTGGCCACATGCTAATGCAGCTTGCACGATAAGCCATCTAACCAAATTTCTTTTTGTACCTGTTACACCTTTAGCACCTCTAGATGACCTTGGTATTGTAGTTTTATCCTTAGATTAGAATCCCATGTCATCTTGTTTGCAGGTGTATCCCTAGGGAATGTTTGTTGAATTAGCATCTGCCCACTGGGGTCCTCCTCCATGTGAAATCACAACACCCCAGCTGTAACAGAGAGAGGCCCTGACCTGAACCCCGTAGTAGGCAGGACCTTCACCATACCTCTCTCCTGCTGATGCTTGCCCCATCCTGGGACCCTAAATGCTGAGAGAGGTCATGAAAAACTACCCAATCTATCAGTGACAAAGCATAGATTTGACAAATACTTTTTAAATCAAGTTTTTATAAAACCCTAAAGATATTCAGACATAGATCAAATAGAGGACACCTAAAGGGGACAAATCTCCAAAAGACAGAAACCTTCCTATGAGATAGGAAAAGATTCTATTTGACAACTATGAATTTCAGGCAACTGCATCTTTTAGATGAAAGTGGAAAAAAGCAAACTGGGTTAAGGAAACCTTTCCTTTCTTCCTGGACCCAGGGGGTGTGGCTGCTGCTGGGTGGAACCCACCCACCATTGCTCCTTGGCAGCATAGCCTCCTGCTGGTCTCCCTGAGGATCAGAGCAGGGTGGTGGGTGGAGGTGGGGCTGAGAGAACTCCCCATATGAGGAACAGCAGAGACCCCTGCCTGCTTTACCCACCCAAGTGCCTTTGAAAGGACACACAGCCTTTCATTTCAGAACTAGAAGCATAAAAGGCAAATATGTCTTTGGTAGCCAGACTGGAGCTCAGGGATGTCCCTTCCATAGCACCTAAAGACACAGGCGGGGACTTGGCAGGAACCATCAACCAACGCAGATCAATAGTCCAAGCAGGGTAACAAGAGGGTCTGGAGCCTCTGCTTCAGTCACCAGGACCTGGGTGCAGATCTGTCTCTGCCACTTACTGTGTGATCTTGAGTCAGTTACATAACCTCTCTGGGCTTCTTCTCTCATGAGTATGTCTTCTTCAGGTTATGAATAAGTGGGAAAATATATTTAAAGCATTTTGCCTAGGCCTGGCATGTTATGGTGGTTGCTGTTTATGTTAGTGTTCTGTCACTATTCACCTTTGACCTTTGCACAGTACTTTACAGTTTACAGAACTCTTTTGTATATGCCATCCTATTTGTTCCTGTGGGGTGGGAGCTAGGAAGGTATTATTCACCCCATTTGATAGATGAAGAAACTGAAGTTCAGAGGGATCCTCAAGACATGCTAGCAGGTGGCAGATCTGGGACTTGCCTGACTCCTGGTCGTGTGCCCTTTCTCCTGGCACGCACCTCCTCCTTCAAGTACAACAGGCAGGTCCGGCTCCCTTCCTAGCCTTGCTGGACAGGGCTGGGGAAGGAGTTTGGGGGCCTGGAGAGAGGGCAGGACTTCACCTGAGTCACCCTTCCATCCCTCCTGTATCAAGTACCTATTCATTCATTCCACAAACATTTAATGAATGCTTACTCTAAGTCAGGCACCTAGATGGTGTTTAAGAAATAATTGCTTGATTATTTAACTGACTATTTTATGGTTTGTGGATGTTTTGCCAAATGTACCTGGCCCAACAGGGGCTAAATGCATTTTTGTGTAATTAATTATTCCAGCCTCTTAACTGTATGTGTTTAGTACAGTGTCTACATGCCACAGGTGTGCAAATAGTTTGCAAGGTGAATAAATAAATGATTGAATGGACAAAGGAGCAAAGAGGAGGACTAAGCTGGGACCAGCCTTTCTCTGCTGATCACCTTTGGCCTGCAGCCTCCATCTACCTTATCATAAATCAACTTCAGTTCAGAACACCCTGCTGGGCAGTGTGGACCCTAGCCAGCCTTATCTGCCCAGCTCCTGGCCCTGTGCATGGGAAACAGTCGAGACTCTAGCAACCAGAGTTGCTCTGAAACTGCCCCAGGAGTTCTCAAGATTTTTTTCCCTTGAAAACTAGAATGGAGCCCCAGGACTGGCTCCTAGTGGTCAGACCCACAAGGGTGCCCTTGGGAGGAATCCGCTCCTGCCTCTATCTTAGCCCCCAAGACTGCAGAAGAGTTTTCCCCAGCCTGTACCTGGGTGAAAAGAACTCTTCCCCAAGGTGTGAAGCTGGGCTGAGGATCAGGTGACCTGTGAGCCAGCCCATGTATCTTCATCAGCTGCCTTGGCTTGGGAAAGCAGTGGCCACCCTGGGTGTTGACAGTAACCTCATTTCCCAGCAGCAGGAGCTGGCATTGGCTACTCTGAACAAACATCAGACCAGTCAAAGCAAATTCTCTAATGGTTCTGATAGATGCACCTCTAAGTTATGTCTGGGCACTTAACTAAATATTTATCCACTTTCCTGCTGCACCGTCCTTTCCAAAAACTTACAGATGCTTTGTAAACAGCAGCAGCAAAACAAACAATACATTTTCCCAGAAAATATTCCAATGTGTATTACTCAGTGTTGAGGCCTGCCACTGTCCAGACGAGTGTCTGTGAACTAGATCTGGGACTTGCTTCCCCTTTCTCAGCTGTATCATGCATGTCCTAAAGGGAAGAAATCTTTTCTGCCTCTGCAGGTGGTGACTGAATGCTGGACAAAGCCCTTTGATTCACTCATTCATTTCACTTAGTCACTCAACAAGCATGTATTGGACAGCTACTAGGTGCCAAATACAATGCTGGGCAAAGGATATATGAATGCAAGTAAGATGGCCTTACTCTCAAGCTCACATTCTAGTGGAGGAGGTAGACAGGGAGATGGCCACGATACATCATAATCTGTGCTTGGATAGTGGACACCTAGGTAGCTAAGCAAAGGACCCGTCATGAAAGGGAGCCTCAGTTGGGTTTTGAAGATATTGTTGACCTTGGTATTAGATGAGGGGGTCCTGGAAACAATTAATTGATCAATTATGTGTTAAGCACCTCCTGGGTCAGGAATAGTTGGTAAAGAATCGATAAACCATTAAATAGTTAAATAACCGAACAATTATTGCTGAAGTTTCACCTAGGTACCTTGTGCTGTGCCTAGCAAAGTGGGTGCTTAGTGAAGAATTCAAACCTCTCTGAATAGTTTCTGGGGACTGGATTCCTAGTTTGTTTTCAAACCCAAGTTCCCTTATGATAACTACAAAAATCACACCGACTCTGATGTAACTTGCTCTGTGAGACAGACCCTCTCCTGGTCTGTCTGCTGGGCATTCCCACCAGCCAAGATTGCGTCAAGCTTTACTTCCAGCAGTTTGTTGTGTAAAAACAATAGGTATTCTTCTCTTTTCCAAATATGAAGTTATAATAGTGAATAGTCTTTTTCAAACGACATAGAAATTCTCTTCCCCCACCCCTACCCCCCCATAAAGATTCTGGTACCTTCCTCGAGCTGGGGAGTGGGGCATACAACTCTGATTAAAATGATCTGATCTAGGGATATTTAAAACAGCACCATATCTGCTACCATTTCCTTTCTCTAATTAGTTGTTGGATAGTCATCCAGAACAAGTAATAACCTTTAAAAATAGAGTCACCCTGATTTTTGCACTGTCGTGTGGCTCCTCTGAGCTCTTTTTCAGCCTGCCAAACTTTGTATTTGTCATTGATGTTATAAGCCCACAGGCCACACCTGCCCCGGCTGGCATTATATTTCTGAGTGAGGTGATGCCTGCCCGTGCCAGCCTGTGCATCCTTTTCTGCTCTCTAATGATTGGCCTGGGGACATCAGGCTAAGACTGGAGAGCGCTGAGCCCCCATGCTCAGCCATGAAGGTGTTTATCATCACTGTGAGATGGGTCCTACTGTTCTTCCTTAACTCTAGAGAGAGAAACTGAGGCGCAAAGAGATGAGGTCACTTGTGCAAGGCCTACAGCCAGAAACAGAAAGTTGGAATTTGAACCCATGTCTAAGAGCCTCAACACCTACCCTTTCCAGTGCACTGGGGAAACTGAACTTGCCAAAGGGATGTACTAGCCCACTGCGTGCCCAGCAAAGAGGTGGGGGGGGGAAATCAGGAGAAAGCCCGCCTGGGAGCTGCCGCGATACATCAGCTCTCCCACGCAGCCATGTGGCGTTGTCCCCGTGGCTCACTCAGAGCCTCCGTTCCCTTCTCTTTAAACAGGGGTGTCACCTGTATCTGATGCCTGTAGTGAGGCCTAAGCGAGGTCACCGATGCCTTTGAAGTGTCTCTTGCTGCCACTGTAGCTCGTGTCAGCTGCGATTTGACTGGGCCTGTGTCCTTAGCCTGGGTCTGGATCTCCTGCCTCCATCTCCTGCGGGTGGTGGTTCATCCTGCCACCTCGGGCAGGGCCACTGCTAAGGTGCCCATGGTTTGGTTCTTTTGCCGAGCCTGCCGACCAATCTTGAGGCAGGGGTCTAGCCCCTGCTTTTACTTCTGCCCCATGTCCTGTGCAAACCAGCTCGGAGGAAGCTGGCCTCTCTGCTCATTGTGTTTTGGAGGCCCTGGTAGGACTTGGCAGCCCTGCCCACTGCCTACCTGCACCAACTGCCATCCCTCCTTACGGCAGCACCTGGCAGGTGGGGCCACCCTGCCTCCTGGCAGCGTAGGGCTGTCAGTTCCCTTCCAGGCTCACAGCAGGCATAGCGGAAGGAGGGGGTGGTCAGATCCCACTGGCCATTGACCACAATATGTGGCCTGTCTGTGCCTCACTTTCCTTGTATATAAAAATGGCCTTAAGCAAAGTGATCTCTTCCAGTTGTCTCATTTTTGTTTCTTTGAAATTGCAATGAGATGACTCTCGTGTCTTGTGCTTATAACCCTGCCCTAACTCTAACCCATGCCTCTGTTTTAGTAGTTCCCTCTGTTCCTGTTGGTCTTTCCTTCTTGCTGACTCCTGGCACCTTATTGTCTGCCTCCCCCATTTGGCAAGGACCAAAATACTCAGTTTATGTTTGCAGTATACACGACACACATTTCTCCCACTGTTGTCTTTTGATTTTTCTTACATAATGTGTGTTCCTAACTAAATCATTAGCTCGTGAAGGGAAGGACAATGCCTGTTATATCCCCCCCACCTCACATACACACACCCTTCACTCAGTGAAGAACCTAGAAAACTCAGTAAATATTTTGTTAAATAAATGGATGTATGAATGAGTGAATGAATTTGCTGAGAATTGGATAATAAAAATCAGTGACTACTTGTGGAAGGAAGGGCTGATTAAGAAAAACATTGGTCCTGGGTACTTTTTAAGCCACAGAAAGGATTTGAGGCAGCTAACAGAAGTCTTATTTTATAAGTCAGGATACTGTAAATCTACTGGAATCATTTCTCTGTCAGGGTCTAGAGACCACGCAGTTCCGAATCTGTATTCCCACAGCCTCCTCCCTGCCTGCCCTTCACTGGCCGCTTGTCCTTGACCCCTGCAGGAAGCCCTCCGGTGTGCCTAAGTGAGGCCTGCATCTCAGTGACCAGCTCCATCTTGAGTTCCATGGACCCCACGGTGGACCCCTGCCAGGACTTCTTCACCTATGCCTGTGGAGGCTGGATCAAGGCCAACCCGGTACCTGACGGCCACTCCCGCTGGGGGACCTTCAGCAACCTCTGGGAACACAACCAAGCCATCATCAAGCACCTCCTTGGTAAGAACCGGGCAGGGCCAGTGAACGGGCTGCAGAGAAGGGCTCTCAGCTGGACCTACCCAGCCAGGCCCAGTTAAAGGAAGAGCTTGGCAAAATGGGAAGACCAGAGGCTTCAGAGCAGATGGAACAGGGGAAGAATGTCTGCCTGTCACTCCTGCAAGTTACCTTCATCAACAAAATGGATCTAATAAGACCCCAACTGCAGACTTTTGAGAGCTGTAGAGCATACATGTTAAGTGTTAGCATGGCATGTGTGGCACATAGTAGGTTCATAGTTTTTGACTGATATTGTCTATGAGTCTTGAAAGTAGTGAGTAGAAGGACTCAAGGCTGAGTGTACTAGATCAGATTTAAGGTTGTGGGCAGATACAAGTTAGAACAACTCTTAGTAGCTGAGTTATTCATTGCAGGCAGGAATTATCCTTGGCCACATGCTAATGCAGCTTGCACGATAAGCCATCTAACCAAATTTCTTTTTGTACCTGTTACACCTTTAGCACCTCTAGATGACCTTGGTATTGTAGTTTTATCCTTAGATTAGAATCCCATGTCATCTTGTTTGCAGGTGTATCCCTAGGGAATGTTTGTTGAATTAGCATCTGCCCACTGGGGTCCTCCTCCATGTGAAATCACAACACCCCAGCTGTAACAGAGAGAGGCCCTGACCTGAACCCCGTAGTAGGCAGGACCTTCACCATACCTCTCTCCTGCTGATGCTTGCCCCATCCTGGGACCCTAAATGCTGAGAGAGGTCATGAAAAACTACCCAATCTATCAGTGACAAAGCATAGATTTGACAAATACTTTTTAAATCAAGTTTTTATAAAACCCTAAAGATATTCAGACATAGATCAAATAGAGGACACCTAAAGGGGACAAATCTCCAAAAGACAGAAACCTTCCTATGAGATAGGAAAAGATTCTATTTGACAACTATGAATTTCAGGCAACTGCATCTTTTAGATGAAAGTGGAAAAAAGCAAACTGGGTTAAGGAAACCTTTCCTTTCTTCCTGGACCCAGGGGGTGTGGCTGCTGCTGGGTGGAACCCACCCACCATTGCTCCTTGGCAGCATAGCCTCCTGCTGGTCTCCCTGAGGATCAGAGCAGGGTGGTGGGTGGAGGTGGGGCTGAGAGAACTCCCCATATGAGGAACAGCAGAGACCCCTGCCTGCTTTACCCACCCAAGTGCCTTTGAAAGGACACACAGCCTTTCATTTCAGAACTAGAAGCATAAAAGGCAAATATGTCTTTGGTAGCCAGACTGGAGCTCAGGGATGTCCCTTCCATAGCACCTAAAGACACAGGCGGGGACTTGGCAGGAACCATCAACCAACGCAGATCAATAGTCCAAGCAGGGTAACAAGAGGGTCTGGAGCCTCTGCTTCAGTCACCAGGACCTGGGTGCAGATCTGTCTCTGCCACTTACTGTGTGATCTTGAGTCAGTTACATAACCTCTCTGGGCTTCTTCTCTCATGAGTATGTCTTCTTCAGGTTATGAATAAGTGGGAAAATATATTTAAAGCATTTTGCCTAGGCCTGGCATGTTATGGTGGTTGCTGTTTATGTTAGTGTTCTGTCACTATTCACCTTTGACCTTTGCACAGTACTTTACAGTTTACAGAACTCTTTTGTATATGCCATCCTATTTGTTCCTGTGGGGTGGGAACTAGGAAGGTATTATTCACCCCATTTGATAGATGAAGAAACTGAAGTTCAGAGGGATCCTCAAGACATGCTAGCAGGTGGCAGATCTGGGACTTGCCTGACTCCTGGTCGTGTGCCCTTTCTCCTGGCACGCACCTCCTCCTTCAAGTACAACAGGCAGGTCCGGCTCCCTTCCCATCGTGTTGGAGAGAGCCTGCAGGAAGCACTGCACTGAGGTGTCTGAAGGCAAGAGGGAAAGACTGATGTTGAATGTCTGCTATCAGCTGTGCTCTGTACCAGGCTCTTTATATCCACTGCCTCCTTTGTCCTCACAGCCACCCTGGGACTTGGGGACTGTTGCTCCCATTTTATAGATGAGGAGACTGAGGCTCAGGGAAGTTAACTAACTTTTTCAAGGAAGTGCTGCCAGCCCTGGGGAGCAGTTAGCACGAAGAGGGGACAGGGAAGACAGGCAGATGGGTCCTCTCCCCACTAGAGGCCCAGAACTGGCCCTTGTATTGGTGTCTGTGGGACCTGATCCTGCTGGTTCTTATCAGAAGGACCTTGGGTCTGTGCCAGGAGTGAGTACATCCCTGACTCCACCCCCAGACAGCAGGGCCTATGAGTGGCCTCCAGTTTCCTGGGCTCTGGCCTTACAGCCACACCATTGCTAGGGATCAAAGTGTAGTGGGGGAGCTGCCCTGAGCTGGGTGCAGAACATCCAGAACCATGTGTTCCTGCCCCTGAGCCCAGGGCCAGGGTCTGGTGTATCAGGAGGCAGGCAGCCCTGACATGCCAGCTTATCCTTGTGTGGCCTTGGATGAGTGACCCAGGTCCCCTCCCTCTTAGTGTTATTATGTGTCAAATGGGAATAATGATGCCATCTAGCACACAAGGTTGCTGTGAGTATTGTCTTGCATGTGATGGGTTAGAGTGCTTAGCACAGAGCCTGGCGCCTAGTAAGTGTGCAGCAAAGCAGAGCCGCCCTGCTCGGGAGTATTGGGTGAATTCTAGTGCAGATCTGTCTCTAACGAGCTGTGTGACTGCAGAGAGGCAGCTCAGCCTTGCAGGGCCTCCATGCCTCACCTACAAAGTGGGAACTAACTCAGCATTGGTAGGGATGTTCTAAGGATTAATTGGGTAGTGAAAGAAAGAGTAATTATTGCTTATTTTATTTCTTACAGAAGCACTGATGTGGACCCAGTGACCAGGGAGGGAGGCACATACCCATGACCATGCTGGGTTGCTTACTTGTTTATTTTATTTAAGCCATGGATATAAATCCCATTTTACAGATGAGACTCACAGATACAAAGGAAATATGATTCCTAGGACATGGTGGGGCTGCGATTCAGCCCAAGACCTCTGGGTCCTCAAACCTGCATTCTTTTTTACTGATTCCCCTGAGTCAGATTTGCCCGACAGAGGCCACAGAGTGGCCTAGAAGTGTGTCTCACTGACCTCCTTTCCTCAGTGGCTGCTGGATGGATCTCTGCAGGCTGGGGAAGACCTAACTCAGGCCTGATGAACGTGGTAGTTGGTGTCACCCCCAGGTCATACTGACCAGGAGCTTCCCCAAAAGGCATATCCTGGGGTTCTCTCCCTCCAGCTCACTCCTGGGAACAGTCTGTAAGTGCCCCCCTCAGTCGGTAAGGAGCTGGGTCTTTGATACCTGGACACCCCCGAATGCAGGAAGCAGGTAAGTGGGTGACCAAAAAGGCAGGAACATGGGCCCTGCGTCCTTGGGCTTAAGGCCAGGTTGGTTTCAGCTTCCCTGAGACAAAGGGGTCAGCCAGCAGGCCTCCAGAGGGAGCCGGAGCTGATGGGGACTGGAGCATGCAGGGGGCTTCCCAGGCTGTCCAAGCTGGCCCGGGGTGGGCCTCCCTAGGAGAAGGAATGGAGTGCAGGTGAGGACTGTCAGCTGGCCAGGCAGAATAGCTATTATATCAGCTTGCCGTGTGACCTCAGGAGAGTTGCCCCTTTCTCTGGATGGCGAATTCACTCTGGCCCCTCAGAGGAAATCCAGGCAGATGTGTAGCAGATGGTTGAACTAGCACAAGTGCCACCACGGCATATCCTTGCAGCCTACTGGCTGGGGAGGGGTGCTATGAGACAGAGAGGCCCCACACAAGAGATGCTCTGCCGCCCGCCCAAGCTGCCAGCTTGTGCTGTCCTCACAGGCTTTGGGGAGAAGAGAGTGTGGCCTGGCTTCATCAGGACAAGGATGCAGCTGGACCACCCCTTAGACTGGGCCTTGCCTTAGACTGTCCAGCTTGTGCTTTTAGCACAGATTTCTGCCATCTGGAATGCCTACCTCAGCCCCTCCCAATCCTGCAAGGCTTTTCTCAAAACCTGCTTCCTCTGTTATGTCTTCCATGGCAAGCAAAGGGTTTCTCTGGGCTTGAGCTGCAAGTATCTTTTATGTGCCTGTCATATGTACTATATTTTACATTATATGATTAATGCATGCAAAAATACTTAATGCCTGCTTGTTGTAACAATTCCAGCAACACAAATACCATGAAGAAACAATAGTCTCCCTTCCTTCTATGCCAATGCCAGTCTCCCTGAGAAACCAGACAGAAACATTCCATTAGCATTAAATTTGTCCATGTCAGTGACCTGACAGTTAATTATGTTACCCTGTGACATCTCTGTAGTTTTATTTTGATTTGTTTTTCCAGTATTCACTGTCTAACTTAGTTTCATCTTCCTATACATATTGGAAACTGTATGGACAAGATCTGCCTCTGAAATGCTTCCCATTCAGTATTGTGCCTGCTGCAATGGGGAATGGTTAAGTGGACTGATTAATGAATTGATCTGATGATGGGAGTGGGTGTCCAGGGCTGCTTTGGGGTGGCTGGACTGGCTGCTTCAGGTCAACCTGGCTTTCCCTGCAGAGACGGAAAGGAAAGCTGGCCCGGCCTCAGCCTCTCACTTGTATGACCTCAGACAAGTTACTGTGTCTCTTGCCTATAAACTGGGAGTGATACTGATAACACCCACTAGTGGGAACTGTTATGACAAGTTGTACACACATAGCCACACCCACGCACAGAGGAAGCTGTTCATTTTCTCAGGGAGTCTTAAGAATACCTGGATTCAAATTCCAGTGTGCCAAGGATTAGCTCTGCCCCCCTAGGCAAGTTTCTTCACCTCCCTCGGCCTCATTTTCCTTCTCTATGAAATGGGGTGATAATATCCACCCCAGGTCATTGGCGTGGTGATGAAAAGAGGTCTCAGCACAGGCCTGGCCTGCAGTGGAGTCCAGTAAATGGTAATGGTGTTAATGTTATTTTGATATTCTGCAGAAAAAGGCGTCTCCTTTATCAGCTCCCCCACTTCCCCTC